CTGGTCAGTACCTGGATGGGAGACCTCCTGGGAAAACTAGGTTGCTGCTGGAAGAGGTGTTAGTGAGGCCAGCAGGGGGTGCTCACCCTGTGGTCTGTGTGGGTCCTAACGCCCCAGTATAGTGACGGGGACACTATACTGTCAAAAAGCACCGTCCTTCGGATGAGACGTTAAACCGAGGTCCTGACTCTCTGTGGTCATTAAAAATCCCAGGATGTCTTTCGAAAAGAGTAGAGGTGTGACCTCGGCATCCTGGTCAAATTTGCCCATTGGCCTCTGATCATCATGGCCTCCTAACAATCCCCATATCTGCTGATTGGCTTCATCACTCTGTCTCCTCTCCACCAGTAAGCTGGTGTGTGGTGGGCGTTCTGGCGCACTATGGCTGCCGTCGCATCATCCAGGTGGATGCTGCACACTGGTGGTGGATGAGGAGATACCCCCTGACAATGTAAAGCGCTTTGAGTGCCTAGAAAAGCGCTATATAAATGTAATGAATTATTAACGATAGGCAGCACGTTTATTAGACGGCTGTTTCTTTAACACCAAACACACACAGATCTAAAAATACTGTTACACATGCGTTTTCTGTTGACGTTCACTTAAGACAAAAAAGCGGCTGTGTTTATGATGATATACCGACGTATTTCGTGCATACTGGTCAATAAATGTGAAAGAAGTCAGTTCTGGCTCGGAACAACCTTTGTGGAAATGCACGGAACAGTTCGAGAACGGACACAGGTCGGGAACCTGCATCGGGAACCTGTTCTCACATTTCAGATGTGTGCGCTGCACGCATACAGTGTGCAAGTTCTTTTCCTTCCTGCACTTAAATAGTTTAAAATCACATTAAAATGCGAACGCGGGAATCATTAAGCGGAATCGAAATGCACGTCTTCTCGAATACCTAATTATTGGAAATTTGGAACCGGTTCTAAAATGGAACCGGTTTTCGATACCCAACCCTAATCAGTACTCCGTAGTACCGATGCAATTTGGTTGGTACCCTTAAAAGTACAGATTTCGGTACCCAACCCTAATTAGCGTCACTCATACCTCATTATTGTGCAGCGTGAGACACAGTTTACACTCATAAGAGCCCAAGTGGTTTTTCATGAAGTACGGGTCTTTGTTGATGTCTATGGTCTCTAAGGCCAGCTGCCGCAGTCGCTCACGCCGGTCTCGGTTGCTTTCGGACGACGAGGCGACGCCACCGCTGCCCGTTTTCCCTCCAGCTCTGTGTTGGAAATCCATGATGACAGATCTCACTTCTCACACTGCAGCTCCTGGAATCACAGAAGAGGAAAACACGTCTAAACATGGCAGAAAATCATCTTAACATCGAAGAGTTTGATTGTTTGAACTTTCAGAGCTCAAAACGTCCCGCCAGCAAAATCTACTGAAATTAGGGAACCAAAATAGTTAAAGATGTGAAGGGGAGCCAACAATAAAAGAGAAGAGCTTGATCAGTTTAAAACAGGCCTAATTTTATATTGACACTGCTGGTCAAAAGTTTGGGATCAGTAAGATTTTTAATGTTTTTTAAAGAAGTCTCTTCTGTTCATCAAGTCTGCATTTATTGATTAGAAATACAGTAAAAATAGTGAAATATTATTATAAATTAAAATAACTTTTCTATGTGAATATCTGTTAAACTGTAATTTATTTCTGTGATGCGCAGCTGTATTTTCAGCATCATTACTCCAGTCTTCAGTGTCACATGATCTCCAGAAATCACTCTAATATGCTGATTTATGATGTGATATATGTGATACTTTTTTTTCAGGATTCTTTGATGAATAAAAAGTTAAAAAGAACAGCATTTATTCAAAATAGAAATCTTTTGTAACAATGTACAATACCGTTAAAAAGTTTGGGGTCAGTCATTTTTTTTTTTTTACAAAATTATTGCTTTTATTCAGTTAAATTGATAAAAAGTGCTAATAAGACACTTATATTGTTAGAAAAGATTTATATTTTAAATAAGTGCTGTTCTTTTTAAATGTATTCATCAAATAATCTTGAAAAAAAAAAGTATCACAGGTTCCAAAAACAAATATTAAGCAGGAAAACTGTAATAAATCAGCATATTAGAATGATTTCTGAAGATCATGTGACACTGAAGAC